AGAGGGCAGCAGCTTTCGGATACAAGAGTAGAAGTCCTTTGACAATGAATTTAAAAATTGAGAGACAACAATATTCAGTCTTTAACTTATAGTGAATATTGAACACTTTATTTTCAAATTATTACGGGATTTATGGATTGAGGGTTGAACAAATCCCTTCTATTTCTGTTTTTCCATAAAAACCATAAAAACAGCTGAAGAACGAAATGAAATACACATAAATCAATAAAAAAAACTGTATCATTACTTTTTACTAATTCAAGTGGAGATAAAATTAAAGTTTGGAGTTTAATGAAACGTTGAGAAATGTTCGCAATTTTAAATTTGAAATCAGGTTGAATAGAAGCGACGTGAACCTACCTACCACCTGCTGCTCTTCGTCGTCTCGTCGATACTGGGAACTGAAAACCACCCACAATATCGACTGCGGCAAAACGGGAAACGCCGAGGAGATCCTCGATGCGGGAAACCGAACTAGCAAATTCGGAATTTGAACTATCCACTGCTTCCTCATAAGAGCAACGAATCTTATAGGAAGATACGAATTTCTTTCGAACGTTACGATGTCTTTCACCCAGAAGAGAAATAAACGGCGGGAAGAAACGGGGAGGGAGAAATGAGGTGAACCCGGGAACCCGAATTAGCGGCGTTTAAAAGGGAGTATCCACCTCGAGCTTCCTCCTGCTCCGTTCCTCCTTTTTTAAAGTGTTGTTCCCGGCTTCTCTTCCTTAAACTATACTACTAACTAATAGCAGGCCCGAGAGCGAACTCCGAATCTGTTTCGAACAATGTGCCCGCAATGATGTTTCCCCAGGGGCCCCTGGCCCAGTTTACCTAATCGTCGGCCAGTAAAAAAAAGGTAGGCTCGGTCCGCCCTAACCACAGCCCCGCGGACTCCACTTTTTCCTGAAATTTATTATCGCCCGCGTTTCTTAATCGTTCGTGCGAATCCGGACGGTGCCCCGGTCACATAGTTCAAAGATCACATAAATCGGACACAAAAATTCCAGGTGACAATTTCTTCACGAACACTTTTGAAAATTGTTTCAAGGATAGTAAATGATTAATTGTCAAATTGATTGATTCGTCATTATTTCATAATTTATAATTGTAATTGAATTATATATTGACTGAATATCGAGAGATTTCTAAAAATCGACAGGATTCTTGTGGATTTTTGTAGGGAGGAAAGGGTTGAAGGGTTGAAGCTGGCGCCAGTGGCACTCCCCCTATATATATCTGTATATTGTAGGAGTGGAATGTCGTGAAAAGAGGGGGAGGCCCTAAAACGTTAACCACAGATCTTCCGGCGGATTAGAAGCCCGAGGTACCTACGATTTTTGCGGTGAGGAAGAGAAGTTGCCCTTTTCTTCCGTAACCTCTTATTAGGGCGTGAGGTGGGCCTTATCTCAAGGGTCACAGGGTCTCGCGACCTCAGCTCTCACACTGGAAGAATTCCAGGAGTCACAACTTTCTCTTCATATAACTGTCCCATTTTATAATAAACTTATATTTTATAAAAAATCAATACTGAAATTCTCGAATTTAAACAATTCTACAATTCTAAGAATAGATCATAAGATTTAATTTTAATCGTATAATAATTAACAGGTAATAAGGATGGATAGGAGATTAAAGATATTTAAATAAGATAAAGATATTTGTAATTGTAGATTAAGTTAGAAAAATTGGAATGACAGACTGCAATTTAGTCACAGGAACGCCTACCGATTTCCTGCAATACTCTTTATCACCCATTGCGATCTATCGATCCTACAAATTCATGCGTGCATACCCTATATAAAACGATGTTACAATAGCCAGTCTGTCCTTTCTACCTTCAAAAGATGATAATTACAGTCGCTTTAAAATAAGAGGATATTTATCTATATCAAGAATCTTGCATATTTGATTTCTTAAAAATCCCATAAGCTTATTAGCTATAAATATAATCCGCGTGGATAATGAATACGTAACGACTGTGCAATAATAATTGCACGTTGAACGTCTCGCGTTTGTTATGTACGAGATTTTATATGCACGTATATCGAGAATTTATATTTGCTTCTGAAATTGTGTGTATGTACTCATTTTCGGGTCTCGCTGTATAATGTCTCGAGAGTTTGGAGGCGTGGACTGTCCCGGGTTTTGAACAAAACGATTAGTATCTCGCGTGGGACAAGTTCAGGGATACCGGGAACCGTGACCGCTCTAATTATTGTAATCACGTCGTCCTCCACGGCGCCCTCCCACTTCTGTCGTTCCTCTTTTTTGGCTACCTGACCTTTCATTCATTTTTTTTCCCCTAATCTTTTTTCAAAGCTTTTCGTGAAGTCTGCGGTTACCCTTCACACCCTCGCAGTCGTATTAAAAAAATCGATGGAAAAAAATTAAAACGGACTTCAATACAATTAATGAATTGACGTTTTTTTACATTTGATTTATGTATTTATCAGGAAAGTAGTAAAAAGTGCATAAAATAAAAGGGTGGCAGGAGTTCAAACAACGAGCCATGTTATTAGGTCAACGGGGTTGGTTCTCAGATTTTTCATTACGCTTTATTGTCTGTCGGTTAATTAAAGTTAAACAGGGCTAACTGCCCGGCGACCGGGATGACTATTCTTGGAGGGTGCTATAGTTCAGCGGTAGTGAACGATAAACAAGTGATAAAGTAAATGAAATAGGGGTTGGACGTGAAAGAGTGCCAGTTCTTATTTAAATAAATATGTGATACGATTATCATACTGAACATTATCTATTTTCCAATTAATAACAATTCTACCTCTTAAATATATATGCCTAAGACAATAGAGACTAGGATGGTAACGCCCTATCTTAGATTTTTGGTACTGGACTCCGCTAACAATAAAATACACGCACACGTACATCCCTGAAACATGTGCTATACCTGAGTTCCCGAAAGTCTAAGTGCTGGCACAGGTCAGTTTTTGATCGTTCTGCGCCCTGCGCATTTCAATGCTTTGCCGTGTATACTGAACCGTGTAGAATTCGCTACGCGAACCGCTCCTAGACTCCGAGAACTCAGGTATAGCTTAAGCACACAAACACAATTATTCATAATAAAATATGGAACAATGTAAGTCTTATAATGTCCTCTACTGAACCTCTCAAGTAAACAGTACAGAAATTGTTGTTATCCTTCCGGAATTATTTCTTGAGCTTGAATATTTCTAAGTCATTGTTGAATCAGATACCCGCAAAGTTGTGATTTTCTATCTGTTACGGTTTACTTGGGTGGTCCTTTTTTTCTTAAATTTATCAACGGGAAGGTGTAAGCAGAGAGATCTTTGGTCATTGCTCGAAGGGAAACTGGTGGCTCTTATCTGATCGAGAATTCCTAATTTTTGTAGAAGAGACTCGATCTCGTGTCCCGATACCAGTCGAACGCGACACACCTTCAAGCTCTTTGGGACTGATTTTAACGCCTTCGCAGAGATAACAACGATTTATGTCTGAACGTAAAATAAAAGAAAATAAAAAGAAAAATAAAAATAAATTGTAAGTAGTAGGACATTTAAAAACATTAGTTC